ACATCTATAGAACTTTCCACCCCCCCCAAAAAACCCCACAAAATACATGTTTCTCTCAGCCTCACATGGTACTTTCTTGAAGATTGATCACATAATAGGGCACAAAACCAGCCTTTACAGATTCAAAAGCATAGAAACTATATCCAGCATCTTCTCTGACCATGATGGAATTAAACTTGATTTTAATCTCAGGAAAAACCCTCAAAAATACACAAATTCATGGAAACTAAACAACCTACTTCTAAATGACTTCATGACTACTGAAGAGATTAAGACTGAAATTTAAAAATTCATGGAAGCAAATTATAATGAGTACACAAGTTTCCATAATTTATGGGACATGGCAAAAGCAGTCATAAGAGGAAAGTTCATAGCAATTAGTGCACACACAAAAGAAGATGGAGGGACCAGCAGTTAGTGTAATGGCTATGTCGCTGGACTCCCACATAGTCAACCGTGGTTCACGTCCCGGACCCAGTGGCTTAAACTCACGCCGGGCGCGTGTGCGTGTGTGCCCAAGATCCCGAGAGGAGAATGGAGGAGAAGAGATTGAGGCATGGCCATCCCCCCTGGGGGGTGATTTCTCGCTTTCTATCTCTCTGTCTCTCTCTCTCTGTCTGGCGAGCTCATGCGCCCTATAGCAAAAATCTCTATAAAAAAAAAATGATGGAAAGGTAGCAAAAAGACAACCTAACATCATGCCTCAGGGAACTGGAAAAACAACAACCAAAAAAGAAAAAAAAAAATGCCAGGATAAAAGAAATAATAAAAATTCGAGCAGAAATAAATGAAATAGAAAATAAGCTAATTATACAGAAAATAAATAAAAGCAAATGCTGGATCTTTAAAAAGATAAACAAGATTGACACACCATTAGCTAGACTAATAAAGAAGAAGAGAGAAAGGAACCAGATATGTCAAATTCGCAGTGAATCAGGCAACATTACAACCGGCATAACAGGAATGCAAAACATCATTAGAGGATACTATGATGACTTATACACCAACAAACAAGAATATCTGGATGAGATGGACAAATTCCTGGAGACGTATAATCTACCACCATTGATTCAAGAGGACATTGAAAGCCTGAATAGACCTATAACAAACAATGAGATTGAATCAGTAATAAATAACCTCCCAACAAAGAAAAGTCCAGGTCCTGATGGCTTCACTGCTGAATTTTACAAAACTTTAAAAGAAGAGGTAACCCCCATCCTACTCACACTGTTTCTAGAGATCCAAAAGGAAGGAACCCTTCCAAATTCATTCTATGAACCCTCCATTACCCTCATTCCCAAAATGGATAAGGATACGACCAAAAAGGAAAACTACAGACTTATATCCCTGATGAATATAGATGCAAAAATTCTCAACAAGATACTTTCTAACCGTATTCAACAGCGTATAAAAAAGATTATTCATCACAACCAGGTGGGCTTTATTCCAGGGATGCAAAGGTGGTTCACTATACACAAGACCATAAATGTAATACACCATATTAACAGAAAGAAAGATAAAAACAGTATGATCATTTCAATTAATGTTGAAAAAGCATTCAACAAAATACAACATCCTTTCATGATTAAGATGCTCAGTAAAATTGGCAGAAAAGAATCAACTGTTAGCATAATAAAAGCCATCTATGAAAAACCTATAGCTAACATTATATTGAATGGAGAAAAGCTTAAAGCTTTTCCACTAAAAACTGCTACAAGACAAGGCTGCCCACTTTCTCTGCTCCTAATCAATATAGTACTGGAAGTCCTAGCCAATGCGATCAGACAAGAGAAGGAAATAAAAGACATTCCAATAGCGAAAATAGAATTTAAATGATCTGTTTACAGATGACATGATTGTTTACATAGAAGACCCAATAGTATCCACAAAAAAACTTCTCAAAGTAATGCATGCATACAATAAAGTGGCAGGATACAAAATTAGCTTACAAAAATCTATAGCATGTCTATATACAAACAAGCAGACAGAGACAGAACTGAAGAAAGTAATCCTATTTACCATGGCCACAAGAAGTATAAGATACTTAGGAATAAAATTAACCAAGGAAGCCAAAGACCTCTATAAGGAAAACTATGAAAACCTTACAAAGGAAATCAAAAAGGACACAAAAAAGTGGAAGAATATCCCATGTTCCTGGATCAGCAGAATTAATATAATCAAAATGGCAATCCAGTACAAATTAATCTACATATTTAATGCAACCCCTATAAAATTACAAGAAACATTCTTCACAGATCTAGAAAAGACAATTACAGAATTTGTCTGGAATCATAAAAGACCCCGTATTGCCAAAGCCATTCTACACAAGAAGAGTGGAGTAGGGGGCATCTGACTTCCTGACCCCAAAATATATTACAAAGCTATGATAATAAAACAGCAAGGCATTGGCACAAAAACAGACATGAAGACCAATGGAATAGAGTAGAGACCCCAGAAATAAACCCCAAAACATACAACCGACTCATCTTTGACAAAGGATACCAGTCAATCCAATGGGAAAAGGAAAACCTCTTTAGCAAATGGTGCTGGAAAAACTGGGTATCCATTTGCACAAAGATGAATCTGAACCCCTGTCACCATTAACAAAAATCAACTCAAAGTGGATCAAAGATCCTAAGACCACAAATGATAAAACTACTGGTGGAAAACACTGGGGAAACTCTGGGAGACATTGGGGTAGGCCAAGACTTAAGTAAGACCCCCAAAGCACAGGCTATTTCCCCCAAAATAGACAAGTGGGTTTACATCAGATTTAAAAGTTTCTGCACAGAAAAGGACACAGTCACTAGTGTGAATCGACAACCTTTAGAATGAGAGAGAATATTTTTAAACTGTGCCTCAAGTAAGGGATTGATAACCAGAACACAGGGGGAACTCAAGCTGCTTACCTGGGAAGAAAAAAGATTAACCCAATTAAAAGATGGGAAAATTAGGTGAATTAACAACTCTCTAAGGAAGACATATGAACAGCCAAAAAGCATATGAAGAAATGTTCAATATCCCTCATCATAAGGGAGATACAGATCAAAACCACAATGAGATACCACCTAACCCCAGTCAGAATGGTGAAGATTAAAAAAAAGAAAGAAAAATGATAAATGCTGGAGGGGATGCAGTGAAAGGGGAACACTCCCACACTGTTGGTGGGATTATAAATTGGTCTAGCCACTGTGGAGAACAATATGGAGGTTCCTCAAAGACCTTCAGATAGAACTACCATATGATCCAGCAATTCTGCTCCTGGATATCTACCCAAAGGACAGGAGAATACTCAATCAGAAAAGCACTTGCACATCTATATTCATTACAGCCTTATTCATGATTGCTAAGACATGGTCCCAACCTAAATGTCCACAAACAGATGAATGGATTGAAAAAGTATGGCACATATACTCCATGGAATACTGTTTAGCCACAAGAAACAACAAGGCCCTGGAATTTGATAGAAAGTGGATGAAATGGGAGATGTATTGCTGAGTGGAGCAAGTCAGGCTATGAAAGAGAAACATTGTATGTCTCCCCTTAACATATACCGACTGTAAGTACTCAATGACAGAGACTGAAAGACTGGAGGACATTCAAGCATTAAAAATTTTTATGAACACTAGAGCCAAAGTGGAAAGAATGGGGGAGGGTAAAAGCATAGGAAAGGAAAAAATGGGAGGCGGGGGGGAATGGAGAGGTAAGGCATTTGTGTAACACAGATATGGTTTATTATTTGTTGATGAGGATGTGCGCATGTTCTCTACTGGGCTGGACTGAGGTGTGTGTCATGCTGGGTAAAGTCTCTTTACAATCTAAATGATGTATAGCGATTAAATGTATAAATAATAATTAAAATTAATAAACAAAAAATTATTAAAAAAAAAAGAACTACTGAGAGAGGAGGTGTATGTGTGGGCAGTAGGATAAGCGCCAAGTCAGTAAAGGGCCCTGGCTCATTTTCCCTTCCATAGTTTTTGGGTTCTGTCTAAGAGTCTTCTAACATGGAAGCCCAAGGCAGTTTACCAAAGAAAGGAACCCAATTTGGAAAAGAACCCAAAGAAAGCAACCTCTAAGAATACACAAGTGCAGCAGTGGATCAGGATATAGGGTGGCTATGAGCCCACTCTTGGAGTCTGGCAGGTGAGTTGGCTTCAGCACTTACCAGCTGGCCATGTGGTCACTGGCCAGTTACCCACCTCTTTGAGCCTCTTCTCCCATCTGTATAATGAGGATTATGGGACCAGCAGATGGCATAACAGTTACATCACTGGGCTCCCACATGGCTGACCATAGTTCAAGTCCCAGACCCAGTGGCTTGAAAATCACGTTGGGTACGTGTGTGTGCGTACTCAAGATCCTGGGAAGAAAATGGAGGAGAAGTGATTGAGGCATGGCCATCCCACCAGGGGGGTGATTTCTCACTTTCCCTCTCCCTGTCTCTGTCTTTCTCTTCAGTGAGTGCATACTCCCTAAGGCAAAACCTCTTAAAAAATAAAATAATGAGGATTATGTAGCATCTGTACCTAGGCATGTTGAGGAGTCAATAACAAATTGTATGTTAAGCTTGGCAGCTTAGTCCTAACTACAGGTTAAGGCCTGGTGCCCATTTGATAAATTTTCAGTGCCTTTTAAGTGATTATTAGGAGAATAAATTAAAAAAAATCCCTTGATCTGAAGATTTTCTATCTTTTATATCATGATTCACACATCAAGCTTCTTGAATGAGTAAATGTCAACTTCTCACAACTGGATATAAACTTTAGGCAGTCTGGTGTTGAATTTATGGATTTCCCAGGAAACTCAATGTTTCACTAAAAGTCTCACATCTAGTGTCATAGGCAGACCAGAACCCAAAGCAGATAACCACCTGGTCAGGCTCTCTGGTGGCTCCTGCCCTACCCTGCTTTCATCACAATCTGTCCTTTATCTGCTCATTGGTCTCCCTTGAGCCATTCCACTGAAGCATATATTCCCAAGAATGAGGGGGACTTTCATTACATAGGGGCTGATTCTCTCCTACATTCTGGCCCAGAAGTTCTAGTTAAGTGTTGTCTGAGTCCTGCCACCTGGTTCTTTGACATGACCACAAACCAAAAGTGAATTGATCAAGTTTCTGCTGGCTTTGGAGTCTTCCTCCACAGAGAAGGCCTGGGCAGTCTGTTTTCAGGTACCCTTTGTGGTGGTGGCAGGAGGAACAGGAAGGGTGTGGGTGCCTCATGGTGTCTATATTCTGCCTCATCCCACCCAGGAGAGACCACTGTGGGCAGAGAAGCTCAGGGAGGATCAGGTGTCCTAGAAGCACCTGAGGCATCCAAGCTACATCAGGCAGAAGCAGAGCTATGGCTGCGGTACTGTGGACATTGTCTGGGCAATGCTACTCATTTTGTCGTGTGACCATTCTCCTACTAGCTCTCATCTTGGCCTGCTATGACTATTCTTGCATGAGCTTAACAAGGCAGGAGATAAAAAGAGTATTAGCTGAGGTAAACATGGCAATTAGAGAACACTATGGCCAACAAAATGTAGAACTATCAAGAGTGGTGCATCCCCAGCCAGACTTGCTAATACCCCCTAGAAGAGATGTCCTTGTGGTGACACCTTGGCTGGCTCCCATTGTGTGGGAAGGGACTTTCAATATTGACATACTAAATCAGCAGTTCCGACAGCAGAATGCCACCATTGGATTAACCGTGTTTGCCGTAAAAAAATACATAATCTTTCTGAAGCTGTTTCTGGAAACCGCAGAGACATACTTCATGGTGGGACACAGAGTGAACTACTACATCTTCACCGACCAACCTAAGCATGTTCCACAGATCCTGCTCCAAAAAGGAAGGCAGATGGCCATTCTCAGGGTCCAGAGCTATGCCCGCTGGCAGGACATCTCCATGCACCGCATGGAGGTGATCAGCATCTTTTCCCAGAGACGCTTCCTCAGGGAGGTAGATTACCTTGTGTGTGCAGATGTGGACATGAAGTTCAACGACCACGTGGGCGTGGAGATCCTCTCCTCCTTGTTTGGAACCATCCATCCTGCTTACTTGGGGTTCCCACGGGGTTCCTTCCCCTATGAACGCCGGCCTCAGTCCCAAGCCTATATTCCAAAGGATGAGGGGGATTTTTATTACATAGGGGCTCTATTTGGAGGGTCGGTGCCAGAGGTGTATAGGCTCACCAAGGCCTGCCATAAGGCAATGATGATTGACAAAGCTGGTCTCATTGAGGCCAAATGGCATGAGGAGAGCCACTTGAACAAGTACCTACTTCACCACAAACCCACCAAGGTCCTTTCCTCTGAGTACATGTGTGATCAGTTCCTGCTGTACGTTATGTGGGCCAAGCAGCTGGTGGGCTCGCCCTTCATCATAAAGAAGATGAGAGTTATGGTCTTGCCAAAGAATAACTCAGAACTGCGGGCTGATGAAGGACACTTCCAGAAAGGGTTCAGTGAGGAGTAATGGTCAGACAGCGTTAGTCATCCTCCTGGCATGCTATCCTAACTTAACAAGTGTTTTATAAGAAAGGGAACAATTCCACCTCTTTTTTTTTTTTTTTTTTTTTTTTGCCTGACTGAGAAAAATTGCTGATATGTCTCACCATCTCCCCAAATTTAGGCAGGTTTAATTTCATTTCCACCTCCTTTGCCACACACACATTTAAGCAGGTCTGAACTCTGGGCTCAGGCATAAATTCCTGCTCCCTCCTGGAGCTTCTCACTTGTTCTTTTAACACCTTTCAGGATGGAGAAGGTGAGTGTTTTCTGCCTGTCCTGCTGTACAAGGGTTTCAGGAAAATCTTTTCTCAAACAAGAAATGAGGCTCCCGGACACACAGTCTCCTGCCTCCTGTGGCAGTCACACAAAACCTGCCCCAACTCTTGGCCAAGTAGATGAATTCATGGCCTAGTTTTCAGATTCCTTGTAAAAAAATGAAAGATCCTTTGGAACCAGCAGGTGGTGAGGTAGTTAAAACACTAGAATCCCACATGGTTAACAGCGGTTTGAATCCTGGACCTGGTGGCTTGATAATCATGCCAGGCACATGTGTGTGCCTGCCCAAGATTCTGGGAGGAGACTAGAGAAGAGGGGATTGAGGCATGGCCACTCTCCCCACCTGGGAGGTGATTTCTCACTTTCCCTCTCTCTGTCTCTCTGTCTCTCTCTCTCTGGCAAGTGCATGTGCCCTATGCAAAAGCCTACCCCCCTCAAAAAAAAAAAATCAGAAGGGACCAAATGCTATAGAAAATAAAATTAACACTGTAAGTAGCATGGGGAATATTGAGAGACTTGGAATTAAAAAAAAAAAAAGTTGAATGGTCCCTTCGTGTATATGTGTACATATGTAGGTATGTACCCATGTATAGACATATGTATTATTACCAAAGAGCACATGTGGTTGCCAGAGAGACAGAAAGAGCCCCACAATGGGGCATGGCCATTCTATAATAATCTTTATTTCCCCACTCCAGGAGGATTTGGAGCACTCAGGTACATGTACCTTGCATGTTTTTCAAGCCACTGGGTCCAGAACTTGAATCGTGCAGTCAGCCATGTGGGATCCAACTACCTTAACCACCATGGCTTTGGTGGCCCCTACTTTGTCTTTTTAAAAAACAAATTATTATTTTTTTAGAATAGTTACTGGTTTGCAGGAAAATACATAGAATTTCCCTAACTACCCTTGCACATTCTCCCTATGCACAGTTGCTATGGTAATTAACCTCTTGCATTAGAGTAGGACAGTTGTTACATCTGATAAGCCAATATTGATATATTGAATTAACTAACATTCCATTGCTTAAATTAGGCTTCAAGGAGCAGGAGAGGGGTGAAGTTGTAGAACACAACATTCTGCAGGGCAGATCTACATGGGAAGGTTGCCCGTTTGTGGCTGGAGACCTCCTTGAGTACACTAGGCACGTGTGTGTCCATGTTACTGGTTGACTGAGGCTACAGTAGACAGACTAGAGCATTAGGACCCGATCGGGGGTACTATATCTTTGTCTCTTTCCTTCAGTCATGCAATAAATCAACTTAAAAAAAATTAGGAGACGCTAGCCAGTGGCATGAGGGTTGAGGTGGCTGAATCCCACATGACTGATTGCATGGTTCGAGACCTGGACCCAGGTGCATGTGTGTACATGTCCAAATCCCAAGAGGAGAATGTAGGAAAAAGGGTTGCTGCATGATCATCCCCCTTGAGTAGTGTTTTCTTGCGGAGAGCAGCCAGTCTGAGAAAGCATGTGACCTTGGGAACCAGCAGTTAGCAGAATGGCTATGTCACTGGACTCCCACGTAGTCGACCGCGGTTTGCGTCCTGGACCCGGTGGCTTAAAACTCACACCGGGCGCATGTGCATGCGTGCCCAAGATCCTGAGAGGAGAATGGAGGAGAAGGGATTGCAGCATGACCATTCCGGGAGGTGATTTCTCACTTTCTATCTCTATGTGTGCACCGTAAAGTAAAAATTCCCCAAAAAAAAAAAAAAAAAAAAAAAAAGGAAAGCATGTGACCTTTACCACCATGCAGTATTAGGTATGGGTATCAACAACAACAGGAAGATAACCAATGACAACAGGAAAATAGGGCTTTTGTATGTAAATGCTTCTCAATAGCCATTACTAGAGTAACTCACGGAAGCGCATTTTTGCATGCGTCTAAAGGTCACGTGTTTTCTCAGACTGGCTGCTCTCCACACTTTCTCACTTTCTCTGTCTCTGTCTCTCTCTCTTTGGCAAGCACATGCCCCTACCATAAATGAACAACAACAAAAGTTAGGCTTTGGTGACGGGGCCATGCAGGCAACACAAGCTGATAAGGATGCTGCCTCTCATTCTAAGGCAAGGCCTGGACTGGGAAGAAACTGAGGCAAGGCCCAGTTTACGAACTCTCCCTTGTGTCCTTGAACTGGCCGGTATTCAACTTCTCTGCCGTGAGTTTTACTGTTATTACGGTACCCTGCAAGGGTAAAACATCACCCCCAACCATTGCAATAAAGCCAATTAGTGATCTTGTAGGAATGTGGTTCCCTAAGACTGACA